AGTTGCTGAAATAATGATAGTCAAAACCATTTACGAAGTACATTTAAGCAAAAATATTTAAGATTTAAAACAATTCTTTTAAAAAATTTTGTCAAGATGTTTACAACAGACACACATTGGTGACTCCTTAATATTATTTGGAGATATCTAAAAGGATCCTGTAGCTTAATGAATACATTGTCATTCAATCAAGTAGAAACAAATTTTTAACAATATATTTAGTTCTGGCTCTCAAAATATAGAATTATTTTCCACAGAAGAGGTATTTAACCTCACTATGTAAACGTGAGCTGTGGCTGTACTGTTAAAACTGTATGTATGTATATGGTAAAAGTAACTTGATGTCATTTTGTGTGGTTGTGCAAACAGAATATTATAAAAATCTCCCTTTAGATTTAGCCAATTAAGTAATGAAATCATGAATTAATATGAAAAAACATCCAATTGCTTCTTTAAAATATGTAGACTCTTCTCAAATGAAGTAGAATGTCTTATGTTGAGAAATGCCTAACGTGTAGAACCTTGTTATTGCATTGATTCTTTTCTTTTAATAAATTCCTTGTAGTTGAAATGATGTTTTAGAAAGATGCAGGACCTGGGATTAGGAGATTCCTTGCAGTGTCACTAACTAACATTGTAATGTTGAGCAAGTCACACCTCAGTCACTTGATTTTCATATCTCTAAAATAATACCTGCTCACCTATCTCAGAATATAGCTAAGAAGCATGTGATTAATGCTGTGTGTTATTATTCTCATTACTATTAACAGTAATAAATACAATCTACCGTAGCTGGAATCATTCCATAGTTCTCTAATTTACTTTGTCACGCAAATCTTCCATGCCACCTGAGACTGAATATTGGGGAGAATCATCTGAAATAGTGTTGAGTACATTGATTTATCACTGATTGATTTAAAGGGGAGATAGCCTTATCTCTTGTAGGTATATTGTCTCACCTCACTTGGTATCTAAAAGCTCACATGAAAGTAAGTGTTAACCGTTTTCCTTGACACCAGTGACATAATTCTGCTGCGCTAGACTTTGCTGCAAATGATTGATCGGCTTCACTGGGTCTCACATTTTATACCAATTAACTCTTTTGGCACTTTATTAAATTTAGTGGACCCCCTTTGACATTGTGTTTTATTAAATTTGGTGGACTTCCTTTGGCAGCTGAATAGATGTAAAAACAAAGAGGACGGTGACAACTAACTGTTGCCAAAGAATTAAAATTATATATCCATACAGTTCCTGTTTTCATTTATGTTTTTAAAACTATCATTTTTTAAAAAGGTTCAGCAGGGTATATAAACTGAAAGAGAGACAATATGGCTGATGAGTCAGTATTTCCATGCTGAAAAAAATGCTTAGTTATTTCTAAAAACAAAAATAAATAACTCATCCAAAATCAAGAAAATATTTTAAGCTTCTATTGCAGTTGCTGTTATATATTTAGAAGTCATAATGCTTTTTAATATGCTTGGCTTTTAATATATAAATTAAAAGTAGATACAGTAGCTTTTCTCTTATTTAATAGATCAGGAAATATGATATTCCACAAAAGTGAATTTTCCAGATAAGGGAAACCTGTTTTTAAGTGTTATTTGTAAGAAAACTACTACTGCATACTGAAAACCTCCTGTGTATGTATGAGATGCTATCTAAGAACCAGATAAATGTTACCACATTTTAATCTTTGTAAGAACCTTATGGGGTAGGTATCTTTTTTTATTGTTGATGATACCAAGGCTATAAAAGGTCTTTCTGTATCCAAAGACTGTGTTTTTTCCATACTTTGGAAGATTAACATTTTCCAAGTAAGTTGCACTCTCCCCAGCCTTATTTAGTAGGATATAGTGAGTATAATTTAACCTTACAAAGCTTTAGGATTTTCCTCTTTAGTGTGATTGTTAACCCCTGACTGTGGCTCGTAGCACATGTCTGTGCCTGTACTGAATGGCCTGGATATGCCGTATTA